TTCCTATCCCAAATTGAGCATCTCAATAAGGACTGGATTAAGATGTAGGGAACTGTAGGATCCAGAACAATTTCCGATGCTCATTAGCTCTTCTCTGCTGCAGCAGAATTCAATTCTTAAACACTGCACACAGTACCTCTCCCTTGCCATCTTCATTAGAAATTTTCTAGTTTCAAGTCCACCTGGAGTATTTCAGAGGCCAGCTTCTGTTTAAGGCTATACTGAGTCACGAGTGGGAGCTCTGTGCGACTGCCCTCCCACACTCACGTTCTGAACATAGAAAGGTGCTCTTTCTTCCCCTTTACAACTTTAACTTCCACTCAGAGCAACCCAGCAAACCAAATTTCCCTTTCCCTCTTTTACAGCTAAAACAAACCAAGCCAAACGAAAAGAAATTCACAAAGTTCACAAAGACAGAAGTTTTCTTTTTCCCTCATATGCTTTTAGATTTTAGTGGAGCTGCAGTTCAGGAAATATTCTACTAAATAGTATATGTTTACAAAGTAAGTTCAGCTTGAACTCCTGCATGTGTAAAGATTTCAGTGTGTGAGATATTTAGTACTAGAGTGAACTGGGCTGGAAACAAGTATTAAAAAAAAAAACAAAACATACCACCTTATATGAAGAACACAGAAAGCACAGAGAGTTATTTAAGCCAGCCATATTTTCATAATCTCCTTTCTCCAAGGTAGCAAAATTCCACAGACCTCACTTTGACCATGATACATATGCATATACTAGTCTTTCCTGACATTTTGTAATCGTTTAGAGGAAAATCCAAGGTAATATCAATGCCTACCACAAAACAAAGTTATTACAAAGAGATAAGCTTATTTCAGCTTGCTGAAGAAGAACTTTACTTGCTGACAGGAGAAAAAAAACAAAAGAACATACTTGTCATTTGAATTGAGGTAATAATAAATAAATACAGCCTGTCCTTAAGAATATTGATTCACTCTCCTTTTAAAATTGAGTAAGTTAATGCGAAATTCCATTTTAGACAAGGAAAAACAGAAATAAAACAAAACAATCGCCCAACCGTTAATCTCCTCTGTTCTCCACAGCACTTACTTCTCACACATTCAGGTTCAAACAAGGGTCCACATTAATGTGGGAAAGATATTCTTCCCCCACTTCTGACTTGGGCACACTAAAAAAATCTCACATAAGAATTTGGCACTGTATTAGCTCACTATGAGAAACATCTGCAATAGAGATAGCAACATCACAAGCTGGAATCAGTGCACACAAGTGGCACAACACCAAGTTTTACACAACACCTGCTGCAGTTAGCCTAAACAATCTTTTATGATTGCTGTTCTCAGTAAAAATATACCATCACCCTCAAATACAAAGTGTTCCCATTCTTTGCTCTCACATAAACTGGTTATGTCCTTTAAATTCTCAAAAGCTTTGTACCTAAATTGTAAGAAACTGCAGTAAAACAACTTACTGAGAACTTACTGGTCAAGAAAACAGAACAGTTGAGTTGCTACACTGGAAGCAAACAACCACAGAAGAACCTAGAAGTCTGAATACAACCAGGTAGCTTTCATGTGCATGTACCAATACACAACTACAACAATAGCTCTTCAAACTGTATTGGAAAAATGTCATGGATTTATTTAACACAATGTCATCACCTTTCAACTTGTGTTCAAATTCCAGATCTGATCCTTCCCATTCCTATTTTGGTGATTCAGAGTTCGTTTAGCACCTAGTAAAGTTTGCAAAGCCAATAGCACACACAAAAAAACCACCTGCAAAGCACCATGCTGAACTGCCAGGGACTGGTGACCTGCCTCCAACCTCAAAGGAGGAAATATTTAAGACACTCACATTCGCGTTCCAAAACCTCTCTGCGATAGCCTGGTTGCCTCCCATTTCCAAACCAGCACCCTGCAGCTGTGCAATGTGATCTCTTCAGTGCCACGAGTGAACAGTAAAGAAACTTCAAATGCCAAGCTGCATGACTGCAGTTACTTGAGTTATGGCACAAGATTCAGTAAATACAGCATTTACAGTAACACTACTTAACAGTTTTCCCAAATTCTTCACAGCCTAAGTTGTGTGGTTCCTGAATAAATGACTGACCAAATATACCACACATAAATTACTGGCATATAAAACAAAGGATTAAAGGAAAGTTCAATACTACATGGAATTGGAAACACAAGACAGTTCTGATACAAGAGAAGTGTACAGATACTATTTTACTTAAGTCCATGCCCAATATTTTCATTTTAAAGCTCTAAAGCACAAATTCACATCTACTCAGCTGGGCAGTGATGCCCCTACAAGTCAAATAGTAAGAGAAGACAACACCTCATGAAGCACTGCTACAAACCTGTAACGCATTTCAAAATAGATAAATTATTTTCTTCAATTTCACCCTGTATTTCCTATTTCAATACTGACAGAGTATTACATTTAAAATTTGAGAAACAAAAGAACTCTGATTGACAGCTACATATGTCAGAGGTTGGTTTGACTGGTTGATTTTGGTTGATTTCTCCATATTAGGGCTTCAGAGAGTATTTTTTGGACTTGCAAAAAGAGGGTGCCAGGGGTTCCTGCTCCCAGTAGCAGGAACCTTCACATAGTGAGCACCATGTGGGCCACTGCCAAGCTGTCCCAGCAGATTGCAGGTAAGGCTGTGTGAGCTGCTGCGCTGCAAGGCACCACGCAAGCCCTGCATATCTGGCAGGGAAGCCGGCCTGCTGAAAACAGGAGTTGAGGAGAGGGGACAGGTGTCACATAACGAAACATGGCAGGCCCAGGCCAAAGGCTCAGCACAAGCATGGCAGGCTCACACCTGGACACACAGCACTGGTGCTAGCGTACAAGCACGGTGCTGGTCTCGCCAAGGCCCACACCCTCATATACTGCTTCCAACACAGACCGTCTGGCAGCGCTGCCTGGGCTTGCCAGTCAAGAACCAGCACGCACACAAGCTCCTTTAAATACACCTTGTTTCAGGTTATTTTGAACTTGTTAGTTTGACCTGCCATCGTTCCTGCACACGTACAAGCCAATGCCTATGAGCACACCAACCTATCAGTGTTGGACAGCCTACTGCTTTCACACAAAATGCTCCATTTCAAAATACACACTTACAAAGCAAAGCGTGCTGCTACCATCCTTCCAGCTTACGCCAAAAATAGGGATTCAAGCACCACCAATATCTCACACTGACTCCCAAAGAGAACTGCCCAGTGAGGCAATGCAGCCATCATAGTGTGGGAACACTACACAAATAAGGCCCGTTACAGCACCACACACAGAGCTGAGCTTTCACAGCTCTGAAACCCCGTATCTGCACAGTGTAAATTACGGCACTTGGAACAATCCAACCACAGGAATCGTGAGAAGGGATGTAAAAAGCACCATCCTCATCATCTCCGCTTTAAAAATTAACATCACAAAACTGCTTTCCCATGCCTAGATGACATGCTTAAGGAACACCAGTTCTCTTTAAATAATAAATGTATAAATATATAAAAAGAGAGAATATATATATATTTACGTTATCTGTATGTTGTGCTGCAACAATCACTTCAGGCTTGTGCACTCGGTATCTGAAATACATCCCAAAATATCCCCACACAGGCACTCCGTATGAATATTACATGCACACATCTATAACAAGTGTTGCGACACTGCTGAAATCTACTCCTAATAAAGTTAAAATCAGCTGCACGTTCAGCTGGGGGCGGCCGTTCTGCTGCCAGTCGGCTTCCAGGAGCGCAGGAGCACAAAATGCCTGCCACTTTACTCAGCATCTTTAACATATACTGTAATCCCTCTCCAGGTATTTTCTAGAGCATTTCGTGTCAGGCTGCCAGGAGAAGCTCGTGCAGAGTGACGGGAGCAATACAAGTCTGACAACTGCAGGCACGGAAAATGGAGAAGCATCTCCTGTGTTTTAGGAGAGCAAATCCCCGTCACTGAGCCCTCAAACTGCTTATCAACAGCGGCAACAACAACAAAAAAAAAAACAACCACAGGAAGACTTGAAAAACAAAGACCGCTCTTCTCGCTGGTATTTCTATTTCAAGTTCTCAAGTTTCCTGCCTGGCTAGCGACATTTTGCAGACATCCGTAGGCAAGCTACGCGGAATTGATCAAAGTGGGGCAAATGGAGAGAAATTACACAACTGTTCAGCACGCGGGTGTGCGTGCACAAAAGTTCTCCCCCGCCACAAGTAGTTCTCCCAGCAGAAAGCCGCGAGCCGCTCTCCAGCTGTATAACTGCTACATCTTGTGGCAGCGCATCTCAATGCAAGGAGGAAAAGCAGACAATAACCCGAACGGAACAGAGAAGGGACTTGTTTGCTCGTAACCTTCATACAGCTATTCCCCGCAAACACCCACAACACCCCGCTCTGCCTGTCGGTGTAACACAAGAGGGGAGGAGCAGAGGAGGGAGGAGGAAAATATTATCATCCGAGGCGTGATGGAGGAAAGCAGAAAGTTGCAGTCATAGCGCGGCGGTGGCCGCGAGGCGCCCTGTCACCGCCGCCGCGCGGCCGGCCGCTCCCTGGGGGCCCCCCCGACAGGGACGAGCCCCGCGGTTCCGCTCCGTCCCTACCCCACCTCCACGGTGCAAAAAGTGCCCGACTCCTTCCATCCAGAAACAACGGCCGCGTCCACCCGCGCTCCGCACACCGCCGTTACTCCGCCGCCGGAGGAGGGCACAGCTCCCGGGGAGGATGCGAGCGGAAGGACGGCCGGAGCGGACCGCCGCGGCCCGGCGGGAGGGGGGCACGAGGAGGCGCCGAGGAGCGGCGGGGCCGAGCCCCTCGCCCGGCGCCGGAGGCTCCGCTCGGCGCCGCCGCCGCCGGGCCCGGCGCCCGACCCCGCGCCGCCACCGCCGCCGCGAGGGACACCCCTCTCTCCGCCACCGCTCCCCGCCAGCCCGGGACCGGCCTCCGGCGGCGGCGGCCGGGCCCCTCCCCGAGGGCCGGGCCCCCCGCGCAGCCCCGCAGCGCGCCGGTTACCTTCCTTGGGCGGCTTGCTGGGCGGCGTGCCGTGCAGCTGGGAGGCCGCCGCGGAGCAGCCCTGCAGGCTCGGTGGGGACGTGGAGAGCCGGGACCAAGATGGCGGCCCCTCCAAACTTCCACTGCTACTTTGGACACTCATCAAGCTACTTTCCTGGAGCCTGGCAGCCGCCGGGGGCGGCGGGGGAGGCGGCGCGGCGGGGGGACACCCAGCGCCGCGCTCATGGCCGGGGGGCCGGCCCGACACCGGCGCGGGGAGGCCGCCGGCGGGCGGAGGACTCCGGAGGCAGGCGGGGCGCGGGAGGGACGGGGCGCGGGGCCGGCGCGACCCGCCCGCACCTCTGCACTGCGTCGCCGCCGCCGCCGAGCAGCCGCCCGTGTCTGAGGCTGAGGCTAACCTTCCCCGCCGCCGCCGCCGCCGCCGCCGGGGAGGGGAGGGGAGGGCGCAGGCGGGGAGGGGTCATGCGCAAACACGATCGCGAGCCGAGCGAGCGCCGCGCTCTGCCGGCGCCCAGCCGAGCCGAGCAGCGCCGAACCGGAGCCGCCCAGGGGCGGCGGGCGGGAGCTGCGCCCCCCGCGCACGCACCTGCCCCGGCCCCCTCCCCACAGCCCCCGCCGCCACCCCGCTCTCCCTGGCGGAGCCGCGGCCGAACGCTCCATGCGATGCTCTCGGTGGGAGCGCGCCGCGGGCCCCGTGCCTGTCACGGTGCCGAGGGTGGGAGCCGGGGCTGCGGGGAGCGCCGAGGCGCGGCGGGGCTGAGCCGCGTGCCATGTGCCAGGCGCCTCCTCCCCTGCGCGCCGCGCACCGCGCGCCCTCGGGCTGGAGCACGGCATGGCCGCGTCCAAAGCTCGGCTGCTCTTCTTTACCGCCAACGCGGTCTCTGCTGAGAACGTGAAAGACGGAGAAAAGTCAGGTCTGGAACAAAGCCTTTCCAGTTGCGAGTGTAACTTAATGGTTTCGTTTATTTGGAAGAGCCGTGGCTTACGAATTGATTGGAGTTGCATGCGGGAATAAGGGTCCCCACGTGCTGGGCACGGCACTCCCGTACGCTGAGCAGACCCCTGGCCCTGCGCTCACTGCCCTCCCCTCCGGCTCAGGCCGGTGGCAGACTGCGTGAAGCAGCCATCACCGATCCCTCCTCTTTCTCTCCAAGCGACATCTGTCAAATTATCTGAGATCCTCACCGCCCACAAGAATACAGCATCGCTGCATGCATCTTAGCAATTCAGCATTAACCTGAAGTAAAAAATCAGTTGGTTTACTTCCTAAGTAAACCTGGCCCAGAACAGCTCTACACGTGTTTGGCATGGAGAAATGATCTCTAACCAGGACCTCCTTGCCTTTAAGGACTTATCACAGAAAAGACTACTCAGGCTTTACTAAGCAAATTATGACAGCAATTGGCTAGTACTTTGACATGAAGTGAGGCAGTGCGGTATTGCTATTGAGGAGCTGCTACAGCTCCTTCCTGCAAAGTTAAAACCAAGCCATGCCCATGACCCACACCAGAGCAGAAGCATGCCTCGTTGCCTGAGGAACAATGGCTGGTGGACTGATGGTGGGTTGCTGCCATCCCAGGGAGAAACAGTATGTTCAGAATCTTGGTGGCCCACGCGTATCCACTTCAGACAAATCAGAGCCCTGCTACCTTTAGAAAAACCTACAGAAACACGTCCTTCCTGCCCACAGGCCATTGCAGCGCTGCTGTGGGATTCCCGGTTCAATGGGGCACTACTTTTCATGATGCAGGAAACAGTTAATGACAGGGGAGATGCCATTCGTTACGTAGGTTTTCATCAAAAACATTTCTTAATGTGTCAGAGCTAGTGGTGACTTTAAGGTGTCCTTTTTTTTGTAAAGCCACATTGCTTTGGTGCTAACATTTAAATCATAGAATCACAGAATAGCTTAGGCAGGTACGTTTTAGAAGTCTCCAAACACATTCTAAAAGACTAATTCTGTAGCATCATAAATGTGCACAATGCTCTTCAGTCACAATCAAACATCACCTGGTGGGCTCACAGCAGTGAGCAGTGGGCTCTACACACACCCCAAACATTAAAAAACGAAATGTAGCCCAAATAATACCAAATAATTATTACTCATTATTATTATTAATTTTGTTAAAAACAATACAAATGTTTTTATATTAGATCTTTTTCTTTGCCTTTTTCAGGAGTGGAATAGTCTGCAATTACTGTTTGCTGGGTACGCAGCACCTATGATATCAGGCGTGACTCGAGGTGGGATAAAGGAGGAAAGTTCCACTCAGTAGGATTGCACTGGATAGAAACAGAGATGGTGTTGCGTATCTGCATACGAGGGAAGGCTTGATTCCCACCTAGTCCTGAGAAAGCTCACTGGATTTCACTACATGCTAAGAAAGGACCTTGAAATTCAGATCAGAACAGAAGGGAGTGAAATGCTTATGTGCTATTTCTCCCATGAAAGTAAGTCAAATGTTAGCTAGCAAAGGTTTATCACAGCAGCAACCCTCAGATCAAGGACACTTGAAGAACAGGAAAACATTTTGAAATGTCATTATTCCAAAGATAAGAAACACCAAGCAACAAAAATCTGAAACAACAGAATGGTGAGAGCTTTCAGCTTTGCCAATGGAATTACTGCGATGAAAGTTTCTTACACAGATAAACTCACACTCTACCCCAAAATCTTTAGAACAGTAAGAAAAGTTAACTAGGAGATAAGGAAGAAGCTAAAGAAAAGGACTGATGAGCTGCATAGCAAAATAAGAAAGACTGCAGCAGGAGTGACCTTCTATAGGCATTTGCATTGCACCTACAAAGATAGCTGTGTACTCAGGTCTAATGTCAATTTCTAGACTTTTACAAACTATTACAGAACAAAGAGACGATTTCAGGCATTACATATAAAAACCAAAGCTTTACCCAGGGATTCTAGGGGAAGAATGCTACAATTGTGCTACAATTTCAGAGATTTTAATTTTTCCATGACCTTCACCTTTGCTGTTCACTGGCACCAAATGCCTTTTGGTGTCCTCGTGAGAAACAGGCACTCTTATAATCAAATAGTACATGTTCCCAGTAACAGGGTCTCCTATCTCTCTTTCCACCAGCAATCTGCTATCATTTTTCAATCAAGTGGCTGAAGTTTCGTGCAATTAACAGATACTGAGATATGTGGGAGCAGTGACTGACCAAGTCATGTGACCAATTATGTGAACAATGTATATTTACATATGAGTTGTAAATAAGACCATACTTAAATTATGTCAGTAATTAGAAGGGAGACCTTACATTCATGGGACAATCAGAAGAAATTGGGGTAGAAGGGGAACTTGATTTAGCAGGTTTGTGCTTCTCCTAGGACTGAAAGGCAAGAGTTTCCATAATTATGAGTATGGATAAGATCCCTGGAGAAGTACTGAACTAGATGCTTCCAAACTTATATCAGTCTCTATGTGCCAGAGATCAGGGAAATGGCAGGATTCAGAGATCACGAGGGTCTGTAATATGGTCAACAATTGCACTAGATCTTTTTATCCTCTCATATACATCTTTAACCAGAAATATTCAATATATGGCCTTCTTCCATCTTCTTGGACTGTGCGCAAGTTCCTCAACGAAAAGCGGAGCAGCCCAGACTTCTTTTTGTCTTTCTCAAATAAGCAATTCTCTTCACCAACCACCATTCAGGTCCCTTCATTTGGGCCACCATTACTTATGATGCCAGTAAAAGCAAGGTTGGTTCTGTTTGTTATGAAAATCACAAACTCTTTATTAGTTTTCTGTCATCCTGGCACTTCTGGATCACAGATGTATCAGATATGTGGCAGGTGGCCTCATTTGCTTCTCTCCACTTTACACAGTTTTTCAGATACAGCATTTTATGCCACCAGGAAGGTGTTTTTATAGCTGTAGATGTATTTCCTTAAAAGAGAAACATGAGCTGTTGCAGTGCTCTATGCTGATGTAGCAGTATGTTTGCCAGTAGACCAATTTAATAAATCCATCTACCTACACAAACGTACATGCTCTCTCCTATCCCATACGTAGAAGGACACACACACATCCTATAACCAGCACCAGCCGCCAATGTGGTAGAAAAAGTATTCTCCTAACTAAAATGGACACTGGCACATGGGCTCAAATAGAAAATGCCTAAATTACTTCATCATTAAAATGATGTATTTATGATATTTCTAGGTTAGATGGAATGTAGTATTCCAGAAAAATATAACTCAAACTACTGTTCTCTGTCATAGTGAATGGCAGAGGTTCACAGCTCACACACAGTCTTTCCCACACCTAACAGAGCTGCATGCACTGCAGACCCTCCCCATGCCACACTGATGCTCTCCCACCATCAGAGCTGCAGTGCCGACTAGAATCTTCCAGGCTGCATCCTAGAGACTCAAAATGCAGCTTTGGCGTGAGTACAAGGTAAAATGCCAAGTGACTGTGACAGCAAGTGCATTACTGTGGTACAACACGCCTGCAGATTTAACAGCTTTTGTACCTGATTCTCATGTAGCATTTCTACTTACGAGCAGAAAGGAATGTTGTAATTATACCAATATTAATTTTCAAGTGTAGTTAAACTTTTAAAAAATTGATTTAAAGCAATGGTGTTTTTATAGGAAAATGTTACTCAGATCTTGATTAAATCAATTTTGAAGCTCACTGAATTAGAGCTGTCTCCCTAAGCCACATACCACACTACATGCTTTATAATTTTTTTAATATAGCACTTGCTAGCAACTGTGAGTTGCAAGGTAACAAAAACATACATAAATAATACACAAGCAAAAATATCCTCCCTAAATATACCAGCATATCAAGATGAAGAGAAGCCAAAATGAAAAAATGGTATCACATAAAGCCTACACTTGAGAACACAAACACCATGTAAGCACAGATCTATTTTTATCATCCATGTAATTGTCATAAATTGAGTTTATCATACACCTTTGCTATCGTCACCAGCAGTCAGACCTGGTGATCCACCTCTGCTGTGATTACTTGTACTCAAATCTCTAAGAAGCCTGCAAACAACCCCCCTCTCAAACCACAACCAAAAATTAAACTGTGTTCTTACGATAGAAATGTTCCTCTCAGCTCCAGACTCTTCTTCTAACTACTAAGATGATTAGCTACATTCCAGTCAGAATGAAGGACAATTTTACAATCCTTTCCTGTTTGTCATTTTTTTTCAAAAATAACTGGGATTTAAATGTTCACTGGTGAAGAAATGAAAAACCCAAACCTGATGGATGCTGCATTCACTTTCTTCTCTCCCACCTGTCTATTTTCATTTTCTTCTACTGTTCTTCTTCCTGTATCCCTTGCAATCTACTTGTCTGCTGCTCCCTGCAATTTTTTCCTACACTCAGACTATTCCTTTTATAATATTGTTCTCTGGTAAACAGTCTCCTCTTATGTGTCAGGCTTCCTCTCCATTTTTTTTTTTTTTAAGTTTGTGCTTTTCCATACATCTTTCATACTTGCGTTTCACTGTTTACACCTTATATCTTCTTTCATGAAGTACCCTCCTTGCTTGGAGCTTATTTTGTTGCCTTTGATTTTAAGCCATTAGAGATGGACAATGTTTGCAGACAGTCATGTCTGTGTATGGTTTCTAATAGCAATGGGGCACATCTTGATGCTTTGTTCAGACAAGTCATACCAATTTGAGACCAGTGGTTTTTTTTTAATGTAATTGTGAATAAGGCCTTCAAATTTTGGCCATATAACATCAACTACAACCCTGAGAGATAATGAAATATTAGATATCCAAAAGACATATTGTAATTTACAGATTTCTTGCCTTTTCCCCCTTTCAGCTTTAGCTCTGTTGAACTGCTGCTTCACACTGTGATGACACTGTGCTGGGAACAGAGGACCTGCTTTGCTTGATCAGATCTGACACCCACCTAGTCCACTGTCCTCTCCCTGCTTATGTCCAGAAAAGTCATGTTTCATGCACATCCTCCCTCCAAACAAAAAAAAAAAAAAAAAAAAAAAAAGGATACTGAAGGATACTGTCCCCATAGGAGACCTGGGCCAACCTTCTTCCTCACCAGCCCTCAGCAGCACACACAGAATGTTCAGGAAAATAACAGTACAGGAGATAAGCCAGCTACCAGATTCCTGAAAGGTACTGAGAACAACGTGTGGTTTCCAAGAGTTATGAGATGAGAGGGAAGAGGCTGCCTTGTGTGTTACTTAATCGGGAACTATTAACTGGTAAGACAAAGGTGGAAGACTGTATAATATTGACCTCAGAACAATAAAATTAATGATGGCAAAGAAAGCATGTAATGACAGAGAGAGAATGAGATTCCAAAAGCAGTCTCATTGGCTTAAGGAATGAATGGGTGGGTAGATTTTTTGAAAGAGATTCAGGAAGGAAATTAGAACATAGGAGAGCTGATAGTTTCTGAGAAAGGCATATTAAGAAGACACAACAGCAGGCTGTGTTGATGCAAAGAAAGTACGGAAAGAAAGCAGCAAAGCTTCATCAAGAATTCTATGATTAACAAAAAAAAAAAAAAAAAAAAAAAAAAGCAACCCAGGAGGTTGTCACAGATATTCAGAGACAAGAACAAATGACTAAAAGTCATGGGGGAATCAAATCAGGAAGGCTGAGGCAAAAAGTGTTAAACGAAGAAACAAACTGAAAGCCAATCACAGGGTAAACACAGAAGAAGGGAAACAAAAGAAGGCTCAGTTTTAGTATCTAACAAGAAAGATAGTGAATGATAAAACACAGAAAAAAAAGACAAAAATATTCAGTGTTCTTTTTTTGCCTAATGTGCTTCACGTGTCTACAAAAATAATCTTAGCATCAGATTCTCAAAGCAATTAGTTTTCATAAAAGTCAAGAAGCACAGATCAGAAAAAAAAGGGGAATTAGTTAAGTGATATTAAGACAGCCAGTTTTCCATCCTTCCAACTTAAGTGTAAAGAAAGCTGTGGATAAGCCCTGTAGTCTTGTGTCTCATGTTCGGATCAGCCTGGAGTAAAAGCTCAGACTCACATTTTCAGATGTAATACTCATAACAATGTTCTTGTGCGAGTTTTCCAATGCCTGAAATCATGGTTTCATTTACACTGAATTCTTTGCTGATGTGGGGGACTCTACTTACCTGGTCATTTTCACAAAACCTATAGAAGTATAGTACCACTGACACCACTACTGTTCAGTCTAATTTGCTTGGAAAGAGAGTAACAAGTTCAGAAGTTATGGTATGGCCTGACTAGTGATCATATAAATATTTCCACAGAAAATATGCTAAAATATCCTACGGCACTTAGAAAGCTAAAATAGCCCCTGCTTGATTATTCTTTTTCTTTTGAGAACTGATGAAGTGTGATGGAGGTTCTAGAAGACTGGAAATGATTAAAATAGTGCCTCTCTTAGGAATTCGAGTTCAGCTGACCTGACTTTCATTAATACTTTATCCATCACTGAAGAATACTATCGAAGGTTATTTGACAGTTAGTATACAGGCATGAGGGTAGCACATGAGAGAAAATAATTATGCAGTAAGAGACTGACAGTTGACACACAAGCAGTTAAATATTTTTGCCTAACAGTATTTATCAACAGTTTCCTGCAGTAACATCCTTCAGGGATTCCTCATTGGACCTATTCTGTTCAATTTTTCATTTCACATCTTGGATATTGGAACAGAGTAAACTTGTAAGATTTGCAGAAAATCTGGAACAGGGTTGCAAACACACTGAAAAACAGAACAGAATTCAAAATATCTAGGTACCTTGGGCAACACTCTGACGGAAACAAGCTCAAATTAGACAGAGAGGTACTAAGTACTACTGATGACAAAAATAAAACAGAATATATCAGTATAATATGATGACTCTTTAACAGGGCAGCAGGATTGCAGAAAATGATAGGAGGGTTAGAGTGGATTTCCAGATAAATATGAGTCAATAACATGATGATGCTGCAGAAAAGCATTTCTAATTCCAGGATGTATTAGGAAGTGCACAGTATGTGAGATGCAGGACCTAATTATTTTGCAATCTTCAGCGCTGCTGAGGCCTCAGCTGGAGCATTCTGTACAATTTTGGGCAATGCACTCCAAGAACAATTTAAACAATTTGGATGGAGTTGAAATGAAATCAACAAGAATGATAAGTTATTTTGAAAGTAGGACTTACAAGGAAAGGTTGAAGGAATGAGGCTTGGTTAGTTCAGGAAAAGAAGACAGGAGGGAAAATGCATATTTTAAAAGGCATTGTACAGAAAGTCATGATTAACATTTCTTTGTTCCTACCTGAAATACAACAAATAATTGCTTTATTTGCAGCAAGGAAGAGTATACTAGATGAAAAGAAAACAAAAAAGCCAACTACCTTCCCTTTCAAACTGAAGTCTAGATTAGATGGAATAGGTTTATAGGCTGTGGAATCCCCTTCATTTGTGGTTTTTAACAGTAGCCTATACAAACATCTGTCAGGAATGACCTAGTTACCCATTTCCTGCCTCAGAACAGGGATGCACTGGATGACCTTTTAAGGTCTTTTCCTGCCCCTCTACTTTTTCTTTTTTCTTTTTTTCTTTTTTCTTTTTTTCTTTTTTCTTTTTTTCTTTTTTCTTTTTTTCTTTTTCTTTTTTTCTTTTTTCTTTTTTTCTTTTTTCTTTTTTTCTTTTTTCTTTTTTTCTTTTTTTCTTTTTTCTTTTTTTCTTTTTCTTTTTTTCTTTTTCTTTTTCTTTTTTTTTCCTGCAATGATTTCAGTAGTATAGAATCTGTTTCCTTTATCTTGACTGCAATATGTTGGGCAGTATAACTGCAGCCAAGGCCTTTGTAAAATAAAGTCTCTCTCTAAAACCTCTCAGTAAAATAAGAAATTATTAGGATAATGAAAAAAATAAAGGCGGTTCATTTTAGCAACTTGAAAACATAAACATGACGAAACAAAAAAACAACCCCAAAACCAAATATAAACAGAAAAACACAATCCACTTTCTTATAATGGCAAATACTGTTTATGTTTTTCAGCCAGCCTCCATGTCTATCCCATCACAAAGGCTTAATTCACTACTTGATATTCTTTTATAACACTTTTTTAATAATGCTGATAGGTTTATTTGTCATGTTGAGAGATATGATCAAATACATGGCAGAATATCAGTGTTGTGTTGAATGTAACTAAGTAAATATTATTCTTGATTAATTACAGTACTTCTTAAAATACAGTTCTATTGTCCAAAATACTCATTTTATAAACTTTAAGATGTCCAACGGAGATTTTGAATTCTTGTGAAATAATAAGAGTAATAAAAGGTACTTTGACTTTAATTCTTAATTTTAGTCTGGGTTTATTTAAAGAGAAAAGAAATATCTATGAATTTCAACAAGAAACAAAAATGGTACATGAAATTGAGAAAAGCAACTCACAGGGAAACTGTGAATGGAGCTCTGTCAGCACCTCAGGTTATGATGGTATCACAAACCACACTAGAGCTTTTATCCTGTGCTGAAGATGCTGTCATCAGAAACCTTCAGTGTTTATCCATGGTAGCCTTAGGTATCACTGTTACCGGTACACAGATAATATCAAGCTATGCACGTGCACAGAAGCACAAAGTATCTAGCTATAGTTACAGTTGAGCTGATGATGTTTTCATCCCCAGAGCTAACACAATCCATTTTAAAGAAACAGAAACATTATCTGTGTTGCAGCCTTCAGGACTAATATTAAGCTATGAGATGATTCCTAAGAGTTAATTTAAAAATATAGACTTACTTTCTCCACTTTTATGTAACTACCAAGAAGGCCTCTCATGTACAATTGGCCACACCAGTAGATGTCCAGCTGGGTCTTGAGTATCTCCACAGATGGAGACTCCACAACCCCTCTGGGCAACCTGTTCCAGTGCTCCATCACCCTTACTGCACAGAAGTTCTTCTGCACATTACTACAGAAATTCCACTGCTCAAGTTTTAGGGCATTACTCCTTGTCCTATTGCTACACATCACTGAGAAGAGCCTGGCCTCATCTATTTGCCTCCCATCTCCCTTCAGATATTTATAAACATTTATCACATTCACTCTCAGTCTTTTTTTTTCCCCAGACTGAAACAGATCCAGGGTACTCAATGTTTCCTCATATGGGAGATGCTCCAGGCCCTTCATCATCTTTGTGGCCCTCTGCTGGACTCCTAGGAGATTCCTCTCTTTTTTGAACCATCAAACACAGAATTGGACACAGTAGTCTAAATGTGGCCTCACCAGGGCAGAGTAGGGGGGGGAGAAGATAACATCCCTTGACCTACTGCCATGCTCTTTTTAATGCACCCCAGGATACCATTGGCCTTCTTGGCCACAACGGCACACTGCTGCCTCACAGCCAACCTGTTGTTCACCAGGACCCCTAGGTTCTTTTCTGCAGAGCTCCTCTCCAGCAGGGCAGCCCCAGCCTGTACTGATGCAAGATTCCCATCGAAAAAATCTCATCAACCTTTCTAAAGTAGTGTGAATGATCAGAACTAAATGATAATTTATCCAAGATCAGTGTAATTCTTTGGCTCTCCCATCTCTATAGACAGGCATGTTTAATACCGTGTGTGTTTCCCAAGAGACTGCTAGCTGAAGAGAACTTGGGAAGGAGTTTACTGAAGCAGCAAGACAAGAAAACAAAATGCCCATTGCTCAGTTGGTGTACAACATTCATAAGGCAACTGAGAAGTAGATCAGCTTTAATTTCCAGTCTTAACACAAAATTACAATGCAGAATGTGATCAGGAGGATATTACAGGAACACTGACACATATCAATGAGTTCCTTTTCATTTACTGGAATGGATTTTTGATTGTCTTGCATGCCAAAATGTGAGCCATTTTTTTCCTTCACACCTTGCTTAAAGCACACAGAAATGATGAGAATCAAATAATGTAAGAATTAGCATAACTTTGGGAAATAGTGAAAAGAAATTACAATAGTTGTCCCTGTAAAAGTTCTTCTGCACAGAGAGAAAAATGCATACAACCAACGAGGCTGTTCTTACAAAAAAAGTGAAAGTGTGTGCCAATTTGCACATGGTTTTGTGGGTGCAGTGTATGTAGAATTGCTTCTTTAAAAACCAGCTCAAATTCAAATTGAATTTTAGGTCTTGCCATGTTTCCACCCCTCTAGGATAATATTGCATATGGAATGAATGGCATCATAAGGGAATCTGTTTGTATCTCATCTCTTTTTTTTCACCAAATTGTATTCCCAGGCTGTTCCAAGCAGCTGTTCATCTAATTCATCAGCAAGAATCATAGAATATATTCAAAAAGATTATACAGCTTTCCATTTGGCGCCTTCAGAGAAGGAAAGGAAAAGCAGAAAATTAGGAGAGGTAAGAAAGCAATACATGAGTGTAGGAAAATGCAGAATCTGCACTCTGCTAAACTATACTTCAGCTGCAACTCAGCTAAACCTTAGTTATAGGCAAAACCCCACAAACTGCCCTCAGTTGAAATCTAGCTTTCCACATGATCCCAATTCCTTCTCAACACAAGGGACACTAGCTGCTCTTGAGAAAGAAAAAAATTGAGTACTTGTAATATCATTTTCCTTCCTTGCTTCAAGAAGAAAGGATTAAGAGAGGCATTGAAAAATCAAAGAGATTAGAAAAACAAAAATGCTCATGTATATGATATGATGATAAGACAATTCCTGGATATCTTTCCCTCTTCCCTTGCTACAATACAGACAAAAGGTGGTGTCAAGCCTGTTAGGCTTCCTCCCTTTCTCTTCCACTGCAGTTTTCAGTAGGCACAATTTTTATTAGTACCATAACAAATGGATTTTGTAGTTCAAGTGAATTCTCTCTTCTGGAGTGTAATCAAAGTCTAAATCAAAAAGAGGTCATAAGTTAAGGACTGGAAATGGAAACCAACCCAAAGAATAAGAGAAGATATTAAAATGTGCTACAGTATGAAAAGATGACAGTGATGCTTACCTGTCCCTAATGGAAGAGGCTTTAAAACAAACCAGATGCATCCACCTCTTGCTTGTAATCTGCCATACAGCAGCATTTCATCGAAGTACTAAAAATCATAAAAACTCAGATGAGAAAGAATTCATTGGCATCCTTCAGTTGATGTGGGATTTTTCATTTTATATTTGCCTCTGCTTTGTTCAGTAGCAAGTGCTGGTGCTTTTTAGTAGGTGGATCTGCAGACCTGTAGCTTTCAGTACACTGGAGTATTCTTCAGTATGGACTGGCAATGCTAGGCTTGCTTATTTCTCTAGAATGCAGAAGAGGGGATTTTTGCTGCACTCTCCCAATAGCTTCCTAATTCTTCAGTAAATATTAAAGAGGGTTGGAATCATCATTCTTGTCAGTTTTAGTAGAAAGCCGTTGCTGTCCACAGAAATAAATATTTATCTTTGCAGAGTTGATTTTTTCCATTATTTTACATCTTGACCTATTGCTTTTCTTTTCACAAACAATCCACATTTGTTGCACATTTGTAAAAGTCAGTATCTGTATGCAGATACTGCAGCATATTTTAAGGATCTCTTGTTACTGTCTGTTCAATTGTGCAGTTTAAATCTTCCATTATGACCTTACTTTGAGGTACTCTGTTTCCCATCTATGTTACATTTCTATCCCCCTTTTTAGATTGAAACCAATTTCTTGGCCCAGTTCTAGTAATATGTGTCTACAACTCCATGCTTTCAGTCTGGTCTGACAGGTGTATGTCAGGATGTATCATAGTTCATACATTAGAGAAAAAGATCAAAATTGCATCCTCCACAACACTGATTAAGGGACAGCTTGAATCCATAAGGCTTTTCAGAGTATACTGCTGAAGACAGTTCCATTCTTCCTTTATAAGAAAGGAAAAATGAATCTATTGCATGTAGTATAAAAAGCCAAAATTGGAGATGCTCAGTCTGAAGCACACTAGGATGAAAAGAGTTAATGAAGTGCTCTCAAATTACCAAGCTGAGTATCTCAGGATGGTGTATTCTATTATCTCAATGTAGAACTTTGACCAGCCTTGAGTAAAATCTCCAGTTTCCTTTCAGAATCTTAAAGCATTATGTCACCTCACTTTTCTGTTTCACTTCTTTTTGTTTTGATATACATTCTTCTTTCTCACTTCTACATTTTGGAAGTAATTAGACAAACTCCTTTTCTTTCCTTCTTAAGTTCTCAGTCATGTGCACATTCTCCTTCAAGCGTTTTCCTATTTGCAATGAAGAAAGCTCAAGTTTCTCAGGAAGGATTATTACAAAGAAATTCCAGGGCCAGCGTTAGCATGAGTGTTGTTTTCTCATTTACAGGAACAGAAGAATTCCCCCTGCAGCAGACACTGCTGAGTTTGAAACTATAAGTTACCACTTGATCTGAGCCAGATGATTTAAACTGTGCAGTCAAATGCAGGCACACAAAAACTAACTGATCCGTCAGAGCCCCCTTAACTTGAAAGATCTTATGCAGTGCACTGAAACACCCATCGTGGCTGCTATTGCTGCATATACATACAAGTTCAGCAGAAGGTGATCTCCACTACTTTAGTAGGAAGCATCAAGGCACTATTCAGAAAAAGAACGATTGCTTCCAGGTCATCAACTGACCTTAGAGAAGCAATCAGAAATACAAAGTAGAGATCCAATTTCATAGGGAGATGCTGAATTAAACTTTGGACTACACTAACAAGTTTCTGTAGAACTGCAGGAAATTATTATGCAATATAATTTTATCTACAGGATTCGGTCTCACACAAACACATAAAGGAGTGATTCTCCTAGCTGACATCTAAACAGTCCTGTCAGAAAAAGTATATTAATCTGACCTGGAAGATACTGAGCAATGGTCTTCAATCCATGATTTATGGGCAACACACTGGCCAAAGAGCCTCTATAATGTTACTAATGTCTGCTGCACACTACCTACTGAGCAGAGGGTCAGGGAAGTCTGTGATCACAATCAACAGGGTTTTTTTCTTCCTCCATGAGGTGTGAGACACCTCACAAAAATGCATGCATGATCATATCTGCTTTACAAAAGGCAAGACCTGAGGATGGGAAGCTAACAAGGAGCTAGGCAGAACCAGACTAAAAGAGCTGAAAAATTAAACTGTGCCTCGAAGGGTTTCAAAAACTTGTTTAGTTATAAATGGTGTGATTTATTAACAAAAAATCAAAGAAGCTACACCACATCAGACATACTTTGATGAGTTAAAAAAAAAGAAAAAAACAAAACAAAACAAAAACTAACCACAGTTCCACAAAGAACCCCAACTCATACTAAGTCTGCCTCATCCAGGTATGAAGAAAATAGTATTACACTATATATAGTATACTATATACTAAACCCAGGAAGCTGGTGATTAACATCAGTACACTGCTCAACAGGATGCTCACAGCAGCTATTACTGGTTATGGATGTTATTCAATGCTACTCTCTTTCTATGCTAATACATTGGTAATGTGCTGGCAGAAGCTGTATTTTATACATTAGTTCTTCAAGGAAAGCAGAACTGCACTGTAGGGGTAAAACTGATCCTACTGAAGTCAGTAGCAAAACTCTCATTGTTATAAATTAGGGCTAGAATTTCACATGTGGATGAGGAGATCTACTCATCCTTTATTTCTCATCTGTCTCCCTAGGTAAAACCTACTCTCATTCATTGTCTTATATAGACTATGCAGATACATAAAAGAGCATATATACCAGAGCTGACCACTAAAAGACAACAAATCTCATTCATGTCTTCCAAAGACAGATTCCCCATTCACATTTACATTCAGATGTCACAGAAGCAACAGAGAAAGAAATGCCTGTCTCAGGTGATGGGATTCAGTCAAGGTCTGAGGATCCAAGGGAGGCAAAGAAAACATATCTTGCTATCAGATAAATCAAGTGTATGGTGTTATTTGATATTCATATACTTAATAAAGCTCACAGACTCCAAGAACAGCCACAAGATCTGTTTCATTGAAACCAGAACTTAACCTTTAAGCACTAACACCAATCATAAGACTCACAGAGACAACTTTGTATACAATTTGCATTTTTTCCACAGAAATTCATACCTGATTTTCCTATTAGACAATTTCACATCAGGTAGTGAGATTAAGTGCCTAATAACAGACGGGGCTCCTTTGGCTCCTTGCATGCTAAAATCTAATATCATTGTGCCTAGATTTTTATTTGAAATGGAGACTACCTGCTTCCCATAACAATGGCCCTTCATTAGATGACATCTTCCATCACAATTTGTATGATAGCTACCCAAGCTCCCAATGGGAGATGTACTTTGGATAATAAATGTAACTTCTTTGTTCCATACAGATTTGTGCTAGTTCTATCTCCTTTTCACTTATTCTAGTCACTATTTTGATCTTCTTTTTGATGGTAGTGCCATATTACACTCGGAAATTCATATGCCAAGTTACTAAAAAGTAAAGAGAAATCCCAAAGAAGTTATAAAATATCCTGTAAGCCTTGTTCCAAATAAAGTTTCTAGGTCATTGGGGGGAAATGTCAGTTGCACCAATTCATTTATTTATAGCATTATTTAGGGAGAAGCAAAATCGCAGCAAGACATTTCTGCACATTAGTTTCTAATTCTATTCTATTTTTTATGTGTTTCCGTATTGTTTCCTGACCATGTCCCAGGAATGCATAAAGCACCACAATTGCTATTTTTGCCCTTCTAACATTTTGTCTGCGTGGAGCTGGGAAGGAAGAAGTCAGCTCACTTTCCTTTGGAATTTTTACTTTGCTTTACACAAGCATGTATATAAACATGGGTCCTTATAGCGGAGCACAAAACAGTAAAGCTCCTCTTACGTTGCTTGAAACAGAAGAAAAATGGGAACAATGGGAAGACCCATTGTTTTATATGATCCATGTTTAATTTTTGAGCTTTATGAGATCCCTTAAACACCTCAAGTCTCATTTTTGAAACACCTACAGAAAATAGAGCAGGATACTGGGTATGATTTGTTATTCTTTGGAAAGGCACAACAAGGAACAGAAGGCAAACAGACAGAATCCTTTATCTCTGAGAGTACACATCACTGTTTGATGCTACTTGTGAGTCTTAAATGCTAAAGTTACTGCTGTGCACATTGTTATATTACTCTTGCCCCATCTCAACCATGAGTTGACGTTGACTGAGATAAGATTATTATTCAGCGGGATGGGACAATTTCTCAGTCTACATCCAAAACAGTTAAGCAGCTGCACAGAACACAGGATTGCATCCATAACCTTTCTGTCAATACAGCATTTAAAAACTGTCCAGATTCTTTGGCAAGGAGATCTGCATGGCTGGGACACCAATAACCGAAGTTAGTGTATGTTCAGAGTAACTCAGGAGATTCCAGACTCTGGCTCAAGAAAACAATTGCACAGATATTGCAAAGTTGCAATAAAGAGAGTGTGGGTGCAGAGTTCACAGACATCAACTTTTTTCCGCTTTGCAGAGTCACAGCTAAACTGCCACCCTGCCTTAGTACAAACAAGTTGTTACAGGTAATCTCAGAAATGCTACTGAGAGTGTCTGATGCTGGGAAAATTAAGTAGAATATTAAAGCTATAATGCCTATTAGTGACTTGACTATGGGCGTTTTCCACAAAGCACTTCCCCCATGTAATTCACAAAATAGATTTCTGTCTGATTTCTAAGAGATGTTGCCTTTGTACAGAAATCTCAAACCAAACCTCAAACACTCCATATCTCAAATATCTTGTTAAATACTATCTCGTCCATAAAATTGTCATATAAGATATTGAGAGATCTACACAACACCACTGAAATGGAAAGGGGCTGAGGTAGATGTGTTACAGAAGTCCCTCCCACCTAGCTACACAAGGTGGTCCTATACGTTTGGTATAGCTTTCTGTCTGACCTGCAGGGCAAAACTTCTCATGACCACTATCTGCTGCAAGAATTTATTTTAAATGTAATCCATACACTATAGGGAAAAAATCAAGCTCAGACCACAGTCACGCCTACCCCAGGGCTCCTTAACACACTCATTTTCAAAATATTTTTGTTCAGAAACATGAGCTTTGTTTCAAAATTCTTTATGGCAGGTCACTATAATCAGCACGAAGAGACTTGCTAACCACTCAAAGCACTTGCCTCCTTTTTAATTTCTCTTGGGAATAAGAAACATACTCAGCTTTTCCTCCTTTGGCACTATAGTCTGCCCTCACAGAATTACTGAAATATGAATTTGTGAGGGTTGTTTCAAGCAGAAGTATGTTCCTATGGATAGTAATGATGTTAATTCCCGTCGCTCTGAAGATCCAAGTGAGACTGTTGTTAAAGCTGCTTCTAAAGGACCAAGGGAATTTGTGCCATTCAGTTCAATGACTTTCATTACCTCTTTTAGACTAAACATAAATGTAATATACCAAGCCAGACTCCAAAGGTTGGTCTTTCATTTAGGAAAAGTACTAGAGATGCAAAAGCTGTGCAGCATTTACAGGAGTCTAACATAGATTCAATAAACCAATTGAACACGAAAGGAACATCCTTTCTAAATGCAAATTATTCAGGTGCCATGTGAGTTCCATAAAGGTTACTCTTCAGTTCTCTCTCTCCATCTATAAATGAGAACAGAGAACAGCTTACTTTCCTTCTGTGAAATTCTTTGTACAAAGACATCATGGTGCTCCCATTACAGGCCTTGTCGGCAAGGTGCAGGCAGAGGCTCTGGACTGTGTTTGTCCTGTGACTGCTGAACACTGACAGTCATCGTTTACTAAAGCACTTTTGAGGAGAACTGAAAAACTAATTTTAAAAAGCAAGTGCAACAATGCAGCAACACAGACACACTAAAGCTGCATGATTTTCTCTCTCCTTGTCATTTTGTCTAAAGATTCCACATTCTCCTATCTCAAAGAGTAATACCACAAATATCAATAAGGTTCATAAAACAACACTCCCATATTAAACTGATCAAAGTGTGAAGAGATCTACCTGGATGGGGATGCACAATAGCTGCAGATCTGACTGAAGTTTCTTTATGATGAATTCTTGTCTTGGGTGAAGCCGGTGGCAAAATTTTTCCGTGTTTCCCAGGTGGCAAATCAGGATTTGCTGTATCAGTTTTGAGTCAGGAATCATGGGAAAGAAAACTGCAATGTTACATTAAAAGTGTCATATTACAGATGCTCTCTACAAGAGGGACTGCATTTGTGCAAAGCCACTGGAACTGCACAGTGTTTTTGTGCAAAAACACTGCATAATAGTGGCCACTGACTAGGAAGCTGTTGTGGGCCCTTTTTAGCATTGGGAATGTTCAATAAAGAACTCTGCAAATATATCTTATGCAATGAATTTGCATGCACTATGTAAATTTAGTTTTGTCTCATGTAGCAGCATCTCGAGAGTTAGCAGGGATGACCAAAACCTCAGGGCCTGAAGAGTGAGAAGACTGAAATAAGGGTTCAGCAGGTGTCACAGAGCATCAGCCAAGCAGCCTACAGCAGCAGAGCTATAATGGTACGTTTTAAGACAAGTGCCAGTGCAGTCGCCCACCTTGGTTTAATCAGAAATTCGTGTTTACATCCTGCTGTGATATTATGAAGAAATCCTCTCCTACTGTAAAACCATCTTTCTTACTCTTACCAGATAGAATGAAACTGATCAAACTGGTGTTGAGTTGGAAGCAAATTAACGACATTCATTTCAAAGTTTAACACAAGTTTCTAACGCATTGTGGTTTTGTAACCTATACATGGCTGACTAACTCTTAGAACCTCACGCTTTGCATGTTTTAAGTTCTCATGGTAAATGAGGACACAGCCTCATTTTGAAGCTCACATTTTATAGTAGGGGTAATGATTTTTCTTTCTGACTAACCAATCAGCTGCATGTGAACTGCCGTTCACAACAGCACTGCATGCTAGATGCAACGGCTAATCGTTCAGAGCCTGATGCAGCTACAGATGTTTTGCACCCCATTAGCTCTGTTTGCACTGTGCGGTAGCGAGGATTAAAGTTTACAGAAAGTAATATCTTCCTTCAAAATAGTCTTTCCTTGGTTTGCTAGATATTCTTCCCTTAATTCAAAATCTCTGAGTGTTTTGTGTACCTGGACTGTAATCAACGTAAATAATGAAGCATCTGCTCAATGTCATCAGGCATTGGTGTATCCCTGGGCCCCCCCTGGCCTGCCACAACAATACCCCCTCAAGCCTCAGTTTGCTCAAGACTTCCATTCCTGGAAGACTTCAGCATGTAGGTGTGGAGATGGCACTTCCACAGCATGTGCTGTGCCCTAGCCCTGAGTGCTGGGAGGGAGGCAGGAGCCAGGAGGCCTGCCCAGCCAGAGCTGATGCCCACTGCACCGTGAGCGTTCAGCCTGCCAGACATCACTGTTGTCAGGCAGGACTTCTCTCTTCCTTACCCTCCCCACCCCACATGTGCAAGCGGGAACGTGCACAGAAAGCATTTCATCCGCTAAGACTGGTGCAGAAGTCATGGAATGTTGTCATAAGAAAACACTGACTCACCTATGTAAAGCCTTGCTTCTTCAGGAAGGAGTTCATCTTACTGTCCTACATGATGCTGGATTATTCAAATTTATCTACAGTGAAAGTGAAAATGCTGTTCTGTAACTCTGATCCTCTGTGACAGCACTTTAAGTGTCAGTTAAGGTCCTATGGTCCTATTTTAGCAAAATTTCCAACCAAGTATAGCAATTCACCAGAGGTTAAAAAACCAACCAGCCCAATTCCACAATTGAAATTCACCCAACCTAAGGCTTCACTGGAGCTATCTTTGTTACATTCGGTTATCCTTCTGTCACCTCCCACAATGTCTACTTGCTCCACCTTCTCTGTATAAAGAGTGTATGAGCTATTCTGAGAGAGTTTTCGTGCTTGTTGTGAGACTAAAACTTGCCGTTCTTCTGCATTTCACTTTCTTGATCTTTTATTTTAATTAAATAATGTTTGTCATGGCAGTGACAATTTTCAAGACTATGTAAAATGAAGGCAGAGCTGAGACTCTGATTTGAGCACTGGTAAGAACTAAACCATGCAGGTTGCCAAAGCTACATACAAGATTCCATCATTCTCATTCTCCACTGAGAAACCTAAAACCAAATGATGAACTTTCCTCATGAGGCAGCACCAATGCTGACTGCAGAAGAACCCAGATCACTAGTAGGCCCCTTTACAAAATTGCTTAGGAAGTCCAGATGTGAGAGTTACAGCTTATACTTTTTAAATGAAAAACTGGAAGTCTATTAATAACAATCCTTCTTCTACTTCAGGCTACCATTGGTCTTAGGAAGAATTTGTGCACATGCAAGCCTTCTCTTTTTCTTGTTAAATGCCTCTTTAAAGTATTTTTTGTTTGTTTGTTTCTCATGTGTGAGCTTCTCTTTAATTGGATACCTGCCAGTTTACAGGTCTCTACCTCCTGGACTGCTGATGTTCCCTACGCTCTCATTTCATAATATGTACACATAGATATATATGCATTTATATGTGTAAGCAGTTATATAATCTAAGCTCTTTAGGCTTCTCTTTGGCAATAAGAAAAACTTGGCTTTGTTTTTGTTTTTTTAGTTTGGAGGCATTGAAATACTTAGCAGCCTCTCCTAAGATAAAAAAAGGTCACTTTAGGCTCCCCTGAGGAAAGTTCATTGCTGATTTCGCCTAGTAAGCTGGGGATGAAAAGCAAGAAGCCTGAAGCTGTCACTGTTTTTGCAGCTATTTTTGGAGATTTATGGTAAACTTTCTGTTTACTCACTTTATGAATAGAAATAGTAGTACTCTCCAAAAATTTTATTAATGTTTAGTAGCTGGAAACAAAAATATGAGTGATATGAAGTATCACAAACATATATCGGGTGTATCTCTACTGAAAGAAAAGAAAAATGGTGGGAACTTATCAAACAAAATTGTCCCTACTTTGATATTACAGATGGCAGGAAAATCCACCGGAAACAACATTCAATATTTGTCTCTATTACCATCAAGAATTTGTGGCTTTCAAATAGTGTTATTGTTTTTGTTTTCTGTTTTAATCCAGTGGACTGATTTCAGAAAAGGAGAATAAAGAACTGTGAAAAAAAATCAGATCCCATGTATAGTGTAAATTTAAATTAAAATGCTTTACTGGTATTTCCTTAGGAAATACCGATACACAGAGTTTTCTGGTCACAGAATAACAAACTTCTGTGAAATTTAAAAAGATGGGGAAACATTTTCAGTTTCTGAAAATGCATTTTAAAAGCCATTTTTTTCCTCTCATTTTTAAAAACCATATCTTCACAAATTTTGTTGCTTTAGTCTTGAAAGTAATGTTATGTTTATGAATAGGCATGTTTCCTCACAGGTACTTTCTCAAGAATCTGAGAGACAGCAGAAATGAACATCCCCTAAACAATTTCATTGTAAGTAACTTATCTTAAGCAATACATTTATTCAGTTGGTTGCCAGGTTTCATAGTATTTACTGTCTATTAGAAAATGTTTTAGAATTAAAAAAACCTGAATATCCTACACTGAAATATAAACACAAACATGAGCAAACAAATTTCAGCCCTCAGAGCAAAATAATGAGCACTGAACAAAAGCTATTGTCTCTGCAGAACCGATCTTGAATTTTTAATGATTAACGTAGATGTTCTTACTGACGGAACATTTTTGTGTTACAGTATTTGCATTTTTATTTTTATGAGGAATACTAGGCACCAGTTAATCTGGATTCTAATTGAAAACAACTAATCTCCATCTTGAAGCAACTCCACAGACTCAGAGTCTTCTGGTCTTACACTGACATAAATGACGTTAGGAATCTGGGTCAAAGTTTCAGATATAACCTTGAGGCCTTTTACTAAATATTAATTGCCACAAAATAAAATAAATATTTACTGTCTTTGATATTTTGCCTCAAGCTAGTTGATGCAAGAAAAGAGTGTGGTTTAGTAGCTGATTAAAAATCTTAAATTATATTATAATACTTAAATGCTTTTCAGACTGCCATGCTGCTGCATTTTTTCATCTGCTTTTCACACTTACTGCCAGTGTGATTTTAGTGTTCTCTCCTTGTACAAGCAAGCTCACACTTTTTCCAATTTAAAAAACAGACCTTACTTCACAGTTTGCTAACTACTGCCAATTATTTATTCAACTCACTAATATTCGCTCTTGAATAACAAGATGAAACGTTGATCTGGAATAAGATTATCAATGTATGTGTTTTGCTGTTGTTTTTTTTTTTAATCACAAAGCAAATCATGCTCAGTGACAATCATAGCTTTGTCACACCATCTTTTATTAACACAAACATCTTTGGTTGTTAGATGACAAAAATTTTAAAAGGATTAAATGATTGATCTTAAACAGCATTGTTTATCATCCTTGGGTTTAGCTCAGCCTCTGTGCAAACAAGCTTAGCATTGTCATTTATGCCAGGGATTAACATGCCAGGGTCTCTGTGAAAACCATTCTAAAGATGCAGCTTCTTGTTACTGTCATTTTCTCTTCATTTTAAATAAACACATGTGTGACTAAAGGCTGTACTGCTCGTTTGTGAGGATGGAGATTAAACCTGAAATGAGTGTAGAGAATTCAACTCTGCTCTGCTTCATAGAAAAAACTGTAACTCAGGGACTGCCACCCACATGTGAGTGCTGGAGTACAAACCTCCTCGAAATGCCTCGCACTGTCTTTTCGCTTCTCCACCCACCATTCTCTCACCCTCTCACTGTTGAATGTAATCAATGTCATTGGAAACTAAGCTGCCCGATTCTTCAGAATGACATCTGACTACTGTGCTTAATAGGATATGCAGCAAACAGAGTCATTTCAAATGGCAAAGCTTTCCTTAATGTAGAATGAAGGACTAGGGTTCCTCCATTTGAGAAGCAGTTGCTATTTGGGAGGAAATGGAGGACAGAGTGTGCCTGATGCTAAAGAAAAAAAAAAGAATGTTGGCTCGGCATTGAAGCCCT